ACGAACTATAAAAATTGAAGATTGATTAATGTACATATAAAATAAATACCCCAGCGTTTTGTTCTAAAGTTTAACCTTATATATTTTAAAATATTTTTGAAAGATTCGATTAACTAACAGAAAATAATGTTTTCCATAAGTTTGTAAAATTAGATTTAACGGTTTATTCCCCGAACGTCTAAAACCTATATAAACAGTATAATTATCACACTCAATTAAGAGGCCCTCTTAGGGACACGGGTAGAGTTTACCTGTATTACCTGTGTTATCTTGATTTAACAGTCTAATTAAAACATATTGATTTTTTTTGATAAAGTATGAAGTATTAAATATGTACCAAACCATAATTTATTTGATTGAATAACTATATTTCAAGACACCAAACAAATGTTTTTTTCATATGAATATTTTTATTTTTATTTCAGTACATTTCATTACAAGCACTATGAAACAATGTATGTAAAGTGATGACAAGTTTATTATTTACAAATATTTAATTTTTAAAATACACGAAACACTTTGAACACTCTTCATTAAAATCACATTTTTAGTACTATTTAATATGCTTTTCATATCTTATATTAATATGGGAAGCAGAGTTTATATCACTTCAGTTCTTTACATTTATTAGCACTTTTTCACATTTACTGGGTTTAGTCTCTCATCTCATAAGCTCCGATTTTGAGGCTAGGACAGGTGTAAAATGAGCCATCACAAGTTTTATTATGGAGACTTAAAACGATTTTGAAAATGATACATTAAATGTATTCAGAGTAAATGCTTAAAACTTTAGCTAAAACAGACATTAAAAAAAGTAAAAGTATTCAACGGATGTATTGAAAAAAATTAAATAGAATATATCTACAATGTCAAGATCAAATACATGTAGCAATATAAAATAATTTTTTTTCTAATTTAAATGAAGGTAGTTTTATACAACAAAATTAAAATAAGTACTTTGAAAGTTTAAGTAGAAAAATATTTTTAATAACATTTGAAAAACATTTAATTCAATTTATAGGAATTAATGGTAGGATTTTTGAAACATTGATTAATATGGATTGACTAAAATACCTAGTAGATACTTTGAACATATGAGTAAAAAATATTTAAAATTTAATTCATTTTATAGGACTTGTCTCTAAGATTTTCCTATAAAACTTATAAGTCAGGTAGTTTATTCATACACAGGTAACACAGGTAAACGCCACCCGCGACCCTCAGAGGGCCTCTTAATTGAGTGTGATAATTATACTGTTTATAAAGGTTTTAGACGCTCGGGGAACACATCGATTTAACATTTGACCACGCTGTGTAAATTAATGTCAACAAGTGATGGAAGCAAACACAAAGCCTAGATAGTTAGAAACATGTATCACGATAAAATTTAAAACAAAGATAAGTCAACATATTAATTTCAAATATCCGACAATAATAATTTTCCATTAATTGTAAAATGGTTTTAATACACTAATTATTTTGTCTATGGCTACGGGGTCAATGGTTCGCCGCGGTGTGTCGCTTTAGATTTTCTTGGACACGTGTAATCGTAAGATTACGCAATGGTACACAAGCTTAAAATCTGGGTTCCAGGTGAATGTGAGAATCGCGCGGTAAATAATTTTTGTATTTATTGACTCTTTAAGTGTTCTTTATATTAGATCCGGGCGTTTATCGTTTTCGTTCATATTGTTTGTATCTTTTTCTATAACTCTTTCTCTTGGAAAGATCTTGATTAATAAAATGAAAATGATGCCATTGAAAACTCTGAAGGGGAACCAAGGAACACGTTTAAAACCTAATTTTAAAAACGAGATATGATACAGCTTTGTAAAATATTTATTACTTATGGCAAGTTTACTGCAATTCTACGCATAAAGACTAAAAAGTTTACCTTCAATAGCGAGATGAGAACCGTCTAGCTTTCTTTCCTATAATACGCGCCCAAGACTCGAACAAATTAATATTTTCATAGGACAGAGATAGTATTAAGCAACAATTTAATACATTTAAAAAAATGAATTTAACCATTCTGTGTTTTTATTTGTGTATAACTGTGGGTCGCTGGATTACCCGCCGATTGATTCCCGGTGACCGACTTTGCCCCACGTTATCGAGGGAGGCGCGTTATATAATTGTAAACAAACAATGTGAATTTTAAGGCGTGCGCTTAGTAAATAAGCATGACAATTTGGGAAAAAAACACAAAACACTTCAAGAACTTTATTCTAAAGAATATTAGAAACCAATAAAGCCATGATTTTTATTTAAAGTAAGTTTGTTTTATATACACGCATGAGAAACTCTCATTTACGAGCTGAGCGAAAAGAATTACCTGTACATATTTTAATCAAGACTAGAACAAAATAACAATATCATAAGATCAGTAAGATGTTAAATCACAACTTTATTATCAAAAGTGATTCGAAATATTACTTATTTTTGAGATATATAGCAAAAACTTTCAAGGTCACTAGATCCCTAATTTTAGGGGCCAGCCCCTATTTAATGATATCAAATGAAAGCTCTTGCAATTATGCACAACTTTTATTCAACATGTCTTAACAAAATATTTTTAGTTTTCAAGATAAAAAGGAAAATATGTGTAAATTTTCGCTCTTTTAGGCGTTCTAATTTTTGACCCCTATATAGCGCCATTTTGAATGCAGAAATCGAAAAACAAAAATAGATGTGCACAACTTCAATCCTTCTGTTATCCAAAACAAGTAAAATTTCTGCTCCAGCTTTTGTGGTCTCTGAGCCTTTATCCGGAAACGAAAGCCTACGATTTTTCGTTTAAAAAGGGAATAACTCAAAACCGGAAGTGACTTTTTGAAATTTTAGTCATTATTCTGATAGAGTTTATAAACGTCTATAACCTCTGAAAATTTGAGCGAAATCCGTTGAGAAATGAGTGAAATATGAGGCCTCAAAGTTGGCGTCTAGGAAGTAGAAGAAAAAAAAAGAATAATAATCTTTACCAACACAATCAGTAGAAGGTCTTCCGTTGGAAACGGAAGACCTTAATAAATTAAAAAAGAACATAAAAGTTTAAGGAAGATCTTCATATTTTCATTAATTTCAATGATTGAGTATAGGCATAAGTATTTGAATCAGGTCATTAGTGAAAATCAGGGCATTCAAAATCAGGACATTATACCCCATGTTAACTTAAAAGTGCTTTTGAGCAATTGAAAATCGATATTTTTCAGAAAAACTTTTTGTAAACTTTTTATTTATCCCACTAAAAATAAACCAGATTTGAAAAATGAAGTAAATATAATGAAAAATTGCTTTTATTGTAGGTTTTAATATTATCAGGTCATCAGGTCATTATACCCTAAAATCAGGACATTATACCCCTGTCAATTTTATCTGTCAAATAAAACTTAATAAAAATAATTTTATTTTGCATTTTCTTCATGATTCTAATAGAACATGATAATATTAATAATTTTCAATAAAAATAATATTGTTTGTGCACATAAAAACTATTTATTTCAGTATAGGGTGAATTCACCATGCATCGGACACATACCTTGCTTCGGACAACTTTAGACAATAAATTCTCTTTCAACTTAAGAGTTCCGTGTATTTATTTGTTTCTGTCTAGAAGCTGAAGATTTAAATTTTTTAATGATACCGATTGTTATTATCATGTTGTGATAAAAATACCCCGAGAATGGCCTTGAAGTTACGTCATATTTTACATCATCAAAGGGGAATAACCAGAAATTTATGATTTTGCGATTTTTAGAGTTATCGTTCTTAAAATTCGACTTCCACGGAACGAGTCAGACTTTGGTAAATAAAGTCAAAGATTGGTAATTTTACATAAATTTTAAAGAAATTTCACTTCAATGTTCGTATAATTCTTTTTAGAGCTGATTTTCACTAGTATGTTCATTTCTCCGTACATCGGACACAAATTAACCATGCATCGGACACTTTCCGATGCAATGGTAAGCACTACCATTTTCATACAGAACCTAGCTGATAGCTGTTTTTTGCGGAAAAAGAAAATAAAAACTCTATATTTTCCGTCAAAATACAAGTTATCGATATATGACGTCTGGAATTTGACTCAATTTATTTCTACAAAACAGAGTATGATAAACCAAGAAAAAAGGGCGCGAATTACCGCATTATAAGCATTTTAAAGCATTTCTAAGGCAGACTGAGGTCTCTTAATTGAATCGTTCTACATTTGTGCAACGATATCGTCAATTAAATTTAAGTTGAGGGTTGTTTCTTAGATAAAAGATAAAAATATATCCATATCAAGCATTTTAAAGCACTTTGATAAAGGTATGATATTTTTCTGGTCAAAATGCCGTCTGTCCGATGCATGGTAAACAATTTCCGATCCATGGTGAATTTTGAGTTATCACTAAAAACTCGATTTTTGAGGATATTTTCTCAATAAAGGGCATGTAATTGTGTCCCAAATTGATATTTTAATCACAAACTAAATGTTAAACTCCATTTTGATAATTTTCCGTCGGTAGCGATATCGCTAGAACTTGTTGAAGTACAAGGGTATCCGATGCATGGTGAATTCACCCTATATGTGTAATCAGGTCAATCAGGGCATTATACTATCAGGGCATTATACCTTCCCCAGGTATCACCCAATTGTGTGGTCACGCACGACTGATTTAGTCAGTCGGTTTCATTCGAATAGGATATTCGCCAAGGCCTATTTGTAAAATTTTTATTCAATAAAATAAAAAGGCCGAAGTATCTCAAATTCTGAGATAAAATAAATGCTTTTGATAGCATCTTTGGTGTTGAGCAACGCTGATAACACGCAGTTACATAGTCACAGAAGTTGGCACTTGTGCAGCTGTGCAGTCCACGTGCACTAAAAAGCTGAAGTTCCTGGTTGTAAATATCCAAGACGAAGCCGAAGGTAAGATAAACGAGCATAAATGCAAAAGCACCTAAAAAATAAATTACGAACCAAAAAATATATTTACTCCGTAAAAAGTTTGCAATGTGACAGGACCTCAGCTGACCGACCGACGACACGTCTGCACTCTGCACGATTTGACCGTGTTATGTCTTGCCCATGCGCAAAGGAAAGACTGGAGTGAAAATGAAAGTAGATCCAAAAGCACATGTGTAAACACAGGGGAGCAATTATTATAGCTTTTCACGAATAAAAGTGACAATAGATAAGTACAATTGTTGGCGAATTGTAAAATTAAATCGTTTTATATTGCTTTAGAGTGTCAGCAGTATGAACATCGATATTTCGGACAATGCCAGTTATTGTGACGATGAAGAAACCGATCACCTGGAGCACAACATCATGAACATGTAAGTACTAACTAGAATGCAAAAATGAAAAGTATTAAAGCATCTGTGCACTGCTAATCTTCAAGTAATATTCATTTATCTTTTCTGATTAACTCATTTATTTCCTTTAATGCATAAAGTGAGATAGGTGCATTGCAGACTTGACCAGCTGCATTATAGTGCATATAATAATATAATTTACACATGCTGTATTTGCATTCAGTTATGGCCCAACCCAATCTATTTTACCATTGTCACAAAATTAGTTTTGAGATTTGTTTGTCAGTTTTTCTTTTATAATTGAAGAAATCAGAATAATTAATTATTTGATTTGTCTTATATGAATATTGCGATAATATCAAGCTGTCATTATCTTTTAAACACACAGGATACTAATTAAACAAATGAGATCATGAACGAGATGCTATATTTGGATCTTCTGGTTATAAGGATGATGACAATGGTGAAAGTGATGAAGAAGAGGCGGCCGGCTGGGGGCGATGAATATAAGATGTGGAAAGATATATCAAGGTTTGTGAATGGCACACACTGATTGATTGATTTAATGATTGATTGATTAATTGTATATTTTTAACGTCCATCTCAAAAATGTTTACTCATATGGAGACGCCACCACTTGCTGGTGGTGAGTTGCAAATTTTGTCCTAGGTCTATTGAACAGGGAGGGATCTTTTTCATGCAGCACCTACTGCGATACAGGACCTCAGTTTATACGGTCTTATCCAAAGGACCGGTATCCACGTCCTACAGTGGGATTCGAACCCGCCACGTAAGGATTGAGTCCTTAGTTCACGACTCTAGAGCAGATGCTCTAACCACTTCGCGAAAAGTGGGCGACACACTGTAATGAAGAATTAGTAACAAATTTAGTAGTTTTTATAACTATAAAAACAGCATCTGCTGTAAATAGAGTAAAATAAAGGTAGGAAATATACGTTACATTCATTTTTACCTCACAATAAAAATCATATAAAATGATGGTATAGAATGTCACAAACATTATGACTCTATTTCCATTTCTATTTGTTTTCTCTGTGATATTTCTTTGAAAGTTATGTGAGTTGATTTCTTGATAATTCTACTGGAATGAAAATTTCGCTAAGTTAAAGATCCACTTGTGTTAAAATATCCTACAAGTATAGTAAAAAAATATTAACTAGAATGAAAAAAAAAGAAATATATGAGATAAAATGTTATTAAATTTTTTACAGTACATACTTGCAATGTTGAATCCAACTGACTGCCATCTCTGTTTTCAGCTGCTGCCTCTAGAAAATGATTTCTGCTTGGAAGTTTCCCATGGTGACATTGATTGTGCTATGGCTAGCATAAGGATTGTAATGAGCTGACAACAGTAATTGTGAGATCTCCGAAATACATGTAAACCAATTCTGATGTAGAACCTTATCATAGAGGAAGGGTGAACATCATAACATTACCAGATAGCCAACCTATGTATAGGGTAATAATCCATCATACTTCCTGCGTACTTGTGTTTTATTTGAATGGACAGCAAGGATTTTGGCAATTGGTACATGTACAACCTCTTCTCTTGCATGGCAGGTTTAACATTTGCCTTTTTTCACAGGGAAAGTACCAGTAAATGTTAAATTTCATAATACATGTGCTTTATTTCTCATAGGATCTTTTTACTTTTAAAATTTATATTTAGTACTTTTATTTTCATTACCATATTACATTTTTAATAAATTTCAATTTGTCAACACCATTGAAATATATAATATGTATATATGTATTCCTTGTTTAAATTTTGGTAACATATGAAAAATCTTATATTTTCAATGGTTTGGAATTATTTATACATGTATATGTATATGAAATCAATTTGTAAACAAATGTGCATGAAAATTTTATTTTGTTTCTGTTTTCAACTTTTGGAATTGAATTGTGAATAATTTTTATGAACTGACAGTATCACAATTTTATTAATTTTAGTGGACAATTTTCAATTTTTAGGTCACATTAGTAAACTCAGGTGACCTATTGCTATCTGTTTTCGTCCGTCGTCGTGCGGCGTTTGTCGTGCGGCGTTCGTCGTGTGTTAACATTTGAACATTTTTAGCTTCTTCTCTGAAACCACTGAACCAATTTCAACCAAATTTGGCATATAGCATCTTTGGGTGAAGGGGAACAAAAATTTTGAATTTCATGGTCCCTGCCCCCCTGGGGACTGGGGGTTGGGGCAAAAACCACTAAAATTAGTACAATCTTTAAAAATCTTCTTCTTTACTCCAGGACATCAAGCAGTCAAACTGTTGGTATGATTGTAATCAGCCTTGAGTCCTCTACCCAAATTGTGAAATTCATGGCCCCAGGGTCAGGGGTGCTAGTGGTAGGGCGGGGCTAAATTGACTGTATATTGAAATGCATTATAACTTTGAAAATCTTCTCTGCTCCTGTGCATTAATTAAGCTAACCAAGTACATAGTTATGTTGAATAAGATTGCCTCTTCCAAAATTGTGAATTTCATGGCCCCCGGGTCAGGGGTTCTGGTGTTAGAGGGGGGGGGCTCTATTGATTATATAGTGAAAATGCATAAATTCTTTAAAAATCTTCTCCTCTGCACTTGGATATTTAACCAAAGAACTATGTACATAGTTATGATAAAAAAGAGTGCTTCTTCCCAATTTGTGAATTTCAAGGCCCCTGGGTCAGGGGTTCTGGTGTTAGGGCGCGGCTCTATTTGTTATATAGTGAAAATGCATTAATTCTTTGAAAATCTTCTTCTTTGCTCCTAGGTATTAAACAAACAAACTAAGTACATAGTTATGATGAGCGAAAGTGCCTCTTCTAAAACTTTGAATTTCATAGCCCATGGGTGAGGGGTTCTGGTATTAGGGCTGGGCTCTTTAATTGTTTATATAGTGAAAGTAATTAATTCTTTTAAAAATCTTGTTCTCTTCTCCTGGGTATGAAATAGACTAACTGAGAACATTGTTATATTGAATAAGTCTGCCTCTTCCAAAATTATGAATTTCATGGCCCCAGGGTCGGGGGTTCTGGTGTTAGGGCGGGGCTCTGTTGATTATATAATGAAAATGCATAAATTCTTAAAAAATCTTCTCCTATGTTCCTGGGTATAAAACCAAAGAACAATGTACATAGTTATGATGAGGAAGGATGCTTCTTCCCAATTTGTGAATTTCATGACCCCTGGGTCAGGGGTTCTGGTGTTAGGGTGGGGCTCTATAATGATTATATTGTAAAAATGCATGAATAATGAATTCTTTGGAAATATTTTCCTTTGCTCCTTGGTATAATGCCAATGATCTAAGTATATATTTATTATGAAGAAAGATGCCACTTCCAAAATGGTGAATTTCAGGGCCCCTGCATTAGAGGTACTGCAGATGCGGGACAAGGGGGGGGGGTGATACATAGTCTGAAAATAAAGTAATACTTTGAAATCTGTTCTTTGATTTTAATCACCCATTTCTGATAAAATGAAATTTATAAAATTTCCAAAATTTTGAAATATGTCACTCCAGGGTCAGTGGTTCCTCTGGGTTGGTGTGCACAACTGTTGGTTATAAAGTGGAAATGCATTTTCTCTCTGTTACTCTGATCTGTTTTTAGGTATTAAGTAACCAAATTAAGCATGCTAAGTGTATCTAGTTATGATAAACAATGGTGCCTCTTTCAAATTTATGAATTTCAAGGCTTTTGGTTTAAATTAGTCAAACCAAATTCAGTTGTTGGAAAGTTGTTACATGTTACTCAGGTGACCTATAAGGCCCGTGGGCCTCTTGTTGTCAGTTACATGTACCTAACATTTTAATAATAATCAATTTACAATTTATATGGAATTGTTTATATACCAATAAAAAAAATTGTTATAAAATATTGTGAGCATCATTTATGGCTGAGAATATTTTTCATTGCCAAACAAGACACATTGTTTGATTATTTGATACTTTTCTACTTCTGTAAAAAAGATAGAGAGAAAAGAAAAGAATGAATAAAATACATTTTATTCATAAACTTGTTTTTTAATTACTGGAATAAAACTATATTCTAACATTCAGGAAAAATTCCTATGAAGACTTGACTCATCAAATATCTTTAGGAGCAGGGTTAATTGCACATATAATTTTCCAAACTACCTACTGAATATGTGCAAATAATTTCTTTTCCTTTCAAAATGGTAATTCTTCCTAAACAGTCATGACTTCTATGAATGAGGCATATGTGTGATAAAAAAATAGAAATGTTATCATTTTTTGTTTGTTCTTGGCACACCTATACATTCCAGAGTAGAAATATTGAAAGGAATGGTTATAGTATCAAAATTATTAATTGAAAAAATATTAAACCATTGTAAAATCATTTAAATGGCTGCATTTTTAGCCATCAAAAAGAATGTATACCTCACTACCCCCCCCCCCCCTTTCAGGTCTACAAGTCTAACCCCTTTATGTTTTAACTGTTCATATGCAATCCAGGAATATGTTGTTTTTTTTTAAATATGGGGAATTATACCTTGTTTCCTTGTGAAGTTTATTAACAAGTACGTTTTTCATGCAAATATTGGATTTCTCCTTTCATTTTACAAATAATTACTGCTCCCCGATCAATGCTTTGAAACGCTTGACTGTAAACAAACGTTTCATTGACCTAGAGTTTGCATGCATGACCATGCGGTGTCGGTCACGTTCGGAAGTGAGCAGTCTTATTTGTTGTGCTTGTGTGTTTTGTGCATATATTTACTGCAACTCTCTTATATTGGATGCTATAACGATGTGTTCTGGTCTTTTTGCAACTTAACCTATTGCAAAATTCGTGATAGGTTTGTTACCAGCACTTCGAGGTACACGGTGTACTTGGTCACTGGACAAATGCATTGGCGCGTGACGATGATTTGGGTGTATACATAGTTAGAAAGTAACAATAGAACACGAACTTATATGGCGTCTATCGATGAAATATGGCGGCTATTTGTTTACACTCTCGGCTATTTTATGATGTCAGTAGAGCTTTAACGACAATTTTTAACTCTCATAGCGAAAGTTGCAGACCGACGACGTCCTCGATTTGCTCTGGTTCGTTCAAAGATTTAGGGAGAATATGGGATCTTTAGGATGTAAATATATAAATTTGATGCTGAAAAGGCAAGAGTCCGAGGTACGTTTCTTTTCCCTATCACAACGATACCATATGAGCTAATCTGGAACGTCGAGAAAATGACAACATGGTCATCGAATTTTTATAATTCACACTCGTGATCCGACAGTTACATAAACATGATATTCCCGTCTGTCAGCCCTGTTTATCTCATTTTTTGCTTTTTTTTTATTTCAAGTTTCTTGTTATAATAATTTAGCTAAAACGGACTAGAAGTATCTGTTTTCATTGTTTTTACAACAGCCTAGAAGCTAGGTCAAGAAAGTAGCTCTGATTGAAAAATTCATCGATGTGTAAACTTTTTCTTGAATTTGTTCTCGTCCAATCAAAACACAGGGAATCAATAAATAAAATTAAGATTGGAATTATATAGATGAGTCTTGTAATAATATTCACTTAAAGTGCGATTGAAAGAGGTTTTGAACTTAAAGCAAGCAGTTATTCAACTGTAAGTCCTGGATCCCATATCTGTTTGTGTTATTATAATAATCTCTTATTTGTATACATTGTATAACAATACCGTCACTCACTTTGACAAATGTATCCGCCATTGATGTTACTGTCACAAGAGATGTCATTCCAAAGATAAGTAGCATTTCTATACCAAATTTGTAAACAATTTTCATTTCTTCCAGAGTCATTCGGTTCTCCTGAAGGAAAAAAGATTTCGTTAATTTAGATGAACAAATCGAGGAAAATATCTATGTTAAGTTGTTAGGCCATTCCAAGTTTTTTTTTCTATTTTAGCACCCGCGTGTGCATTGGTTTTATGATAATTATCCATGAAATTACGTGTCCTACAGTGATTTTTAATAAACCCACGAAAATTGATGCCCACGAATTTTAATGAAACAATAATACTTGCAGCAAATTACATTACTTTAAATCTTTTCTTAATAATTTATTTCATATCTCAGAGATTTTGGCACAAGATAAAGTTTCCTTCTTTGCAAAATGATTTTTTTAATTGTCATGAATTTAAAACGGGGAGATTTTAGCTTATCAAACATTCAATCTAAGAAATGTAAATTAGACCAGGATAAATAAATATACTTTTCAGATGTCAAACAGATTGTATGGGAATAACGAACAAAGTTCAAACTCAAAAGGCCATTAAGCAATACTTAATAGGAACAGAGCAAACGCGGATCTACATTCATCAAATGTGGGATAAGGTGTCATGGGGGAGTGAGCATTCTCTGTCGATCGGTCAAATCCGATGTGTGCTCCTTTTCAGGATCGGGAAATAACGGGAAAAATCAGGAAATGTCTTATGGGAGCTAACACAATACCGGTAATTGTTTTTCGAATCTCTAAAGAGAACTTTTATATAGTTTTATATATTAACAAAAAAGACACTGTCTAATAAACATTCTTTTTTTAAAAATTGTGTTTTTATTCGTTGATAGAGCTAAAAGTGAATAAAATCACTTTAAATATAATCTGCCTTGAAATGTAGGAAGCCAAACTCGACATTACGATATTTTCCTAAAAGAAATTAATATTTTAAAAAAAAACAAAAAAAAAACTATCGACCACTCCATATGTAGATTCTCGCTTAAGCGAATTGATGCAAAAATACTACAGTTTGCTACGAATATAATAAAAAAAGAAATTTGGCAGGTTTTTTTAATTGCTAAAGCAAAATATTTGTCTTTCAAATCCATCCATCAATCCGTCCATCTACCAAAATCTCCAGAAAAAAATATATTTTGTATACATAATGAAATTTAAGGAACAAAAAAAAAAAACCCATTAAAATATCCAACAAGTGTGTCCCAATTATTGCAAGTGTCGCCTGTATTACAATTACAGTGAGATGTAAATAAATCTAGAAGTAGGAACCTACTTATACTGTGGTAGCATTATATTTCATGCATTCATGTTTTTGCCTGCCATAAAATCCATCTCTACGAATAATAAGTCTGAGTTAGAATCTAAAGGTCAAACAAAATATGATCTACAACCAACAAACTTATTGGAATTAAGAAATTGAAATTGATTTTAATTACCTAAAAACAGGTAATTTCCAACAATCCTTAAAATATTCATGTTTTACTGAAATTATCAAGAGGTTATGTTTAGTCTGCGTAGACTTTTAATACAAATCTTAATGCATTCAATTTAGTTAAGCTGTCTTGGTCTCAACTTATGGACATTTATGCATGTAGGGCTAATTCATGAACAAAGTTTAATAAGAAATTATAATAACGCATTTGGGGAAATCGATTGTAATTTTTAATCACATGACGGGCACTTAATTTTTTTTTCAAATTGTCAATTATTTTAAATCAATTTTTCGCGAGAACTCTATTTTCTCGTAATTACGAGAGAAAATGTGCTGGCGAGAATAAACGCTAAGATTTTATAGAGCAATAACTATAATTCGTGAAAATTATTCCCACTTACAAAAAGTTAACAAGTTGCTGTCCTTAAAAAAAGACTACAATACGTGGTAACGTGGACCATATGTTTGTGTTTCTAACCAAAATTCAATTAAAGAAAATCTCGATCTAGGTTTGGTGAATATTCGTGTAGGTTCGTTCACATTTTCTACAATGATCTGCCTACTATGACTGATAGTTTATATTTTCATAGCAAATTTGTTAAATTTTATGTTCAATTAACCCACAGTTTTGTCATTTTTAAAAATCAGGCTATTTTGATACAAATAACCCATAACGGCTGGGACTTGTCATCTGTTCTGGATTTCCGGTTATTCTTCTATGGTCATATTGTCTAAGGGGCGAACTCTCTAGCATTCTCGCGCATGCGTAGCCTGCCCAGGACATCCAGTTTAACCTCGCTTATATATTTTTTGCGTGGACCTCAGGCTCCACGCGATGACAATTTCGCGAAAATAAGGTGTCACAAAATTCAGTGATATAGGCCTACAGTATTGCAAATTATCATCTTCTTTAAAGGCACAAGACTTGTTCGTAAATAATAAGACTGAAGGAAAAGGGCTACCTCCAAGATGTTGGATCAGGTGCCTAAGAGGATAAAGCATCCCCTGTTACCAGGTCATACCCGCAGTGATTGCTATGTATTGATTTGACCGTACTGCCGCTAGGGTTCGATATAAAGAACGATAACTCATTAGCGGAAGTTGTTAAGAACAGGTCTGCAGTATCTCATTGTTTTACGCAAGTCCGTTTATTGCGTTTCCCATGTGCTTCTTTGTTGTCAGTGGTATTCAGTGGTTTTAAAATTTTGCATGAACGTTAACCTCATTTTCCATGTAGTTTAATTACATATAAGTAGTTTTTTAATCAAAATATAAAGTGAAATCTACCCCCCTTCAAAATTTTAACGTGGTTGAATTTTATACTTGATCGTTCTTCTTTGTGCTTAGTTACACAAATAATATAATTAATTGTTGCATGTACTTGCAGAAATATATATTTATATACGAGCACAAAAATGCACAAACGAAAATCATGACATTGTTTTCTTTTTCATGACATTCGTCAAAGAGAATTTAATATAGTCCGTTCCCTATTCATTTGATCCCGATATTTCAGGCAGAAGGAAGACATTCTCCTTCTTTTGGTCAACACTTTTGTATGCATAACAATGTAAAACTGTAAGTAGCCCATTTGTGTACATAACGTTACCAAGTGAAGCAGCCTGTATATCATTGTAATAAACGGTAAAGTAATTTATGAATAATGAACTTTTTAAATTATTTAATTAGATGTATACAAAAGTAATTATCTTTTTTTTCATGCACTTATAAATCTATTATATACATGTATATGAATTGTTTTATACTTAATGTGCAACTTGAACAATTAGTTGATAGGCTTATATTGATAAAGGAGACACAATATTCCTTAATATTATTTCTATAATTTATTCCAAGCTCTCTGACTGGCTCAAACTTGATCACATGATTAAATATATAATAGCATAAAAACTTGAGTTTCTATTTATAGAATCTGAAATGTATATCTACTTGATGTTTGTTAAATTGGAGTTTATAATTTTCTGTAAAACAAATAATGTAAAACGAGAATATTTGGCCCACTACTAATTTTAGCGCCTTTGGCGCAAGAGCCCTTGAACGCTAAAATTTATTGTGCGCTGAAAGATTTCAAAATATTTTTTTGTGTGTGTTCGAAGCTTTTACATAAGTACATGTACACTGGAAGGCGCGATTACGTAATGTCGAAGGGTCGTTGGATTTTATAAACACACTAGAACTGCACATGGTAGGATCGATCGAGAAAATTCTGCCATATTATAATTTTATTAAACTGTTGTTTCCCCGGTAGTTATTACCTGATTCTTATCATTAGCACCTTCAAAGTTTGGCTTCTCGGCGTGTCAATCATCTAGTGCTTCGAGGTACACAGAGAAAGATAGAGAGGGAGAGGGGTAGAAAGATTCATATATAAATGTTCTAAAATAAAAAATAAACACATACTCTTTCGTTATTGTACGCTCTGTAAGAATATTACTTGACAAAGACGTTAATGGTAGTCTAACAACCAAGCTTTATGATAAACATGATGACTTTAACTTTACAATCGTCAACTTCCCTTACTTATGCATCATTATACGTTCATCACCTGCATACTGAGTTAACTAGTATATATCTCAGTTGATTCGATACGCAAGATCATGCGCTACCTTTGAACAATTTCTAAAACGGTCTTCGAGATAAATTATTGACAAACAAGTTGATCAATAAGAATATCAGCAGTTTTGTTTAAAGTCATCATTTCGTAAGTAATATGGTCGATACAAAGACCTTGTCAGCAAATACATTTTATCATTGGGTCAAATGCTGACTGACATTTTCATAAACATTGTTAGTCCACTATTTATACACTGAATTGACGACGGATTATTCCGATTTTCACGGTCATGACAATGAGCATACGGTGGGTCTGACCGGTCAGCAGGGTAATAACGAAAAAATAATGGCCTTACAATTACTATGAAAAACGGCAGTCATCACTTGACGCAGTGTTAACATGTATTAGCTGACAAGTTCATTGTATCAACCATAGAACTTACGAAATGATGACTTTAAACGAAACTGCTGATATTCTTGTTTCATCAACATGTATGTAAAAATAATTACCTCGTTTTTTTTAATTGAAGGTACGTAGATCGTGCTATTACGTATCCAATTAACTGAGAGATAAAAACCCCGCATGCAGGTAATGAAGGTATAAATAGGGTATTGCTGCATAAGTAATTGAAGTTGATAATTGAAAATTTTCAGTTAACAATTTTCGTCTTTTTCAAGTAAAATATCCAACTTTGAGGTATCTACTCCCCCATGGCACCTGATTCAATCTCTCATGTTTTGGAGGTCCGTGTTTGCTTTGCTCCTATTTTGTGTTGTTTTATGGACTTTTGAGCTTGAATACTCTTCTTCATCTCCACGTATTTCATTAAATAACATATTTTTTATCATGATATTACCGGTGGATACATGGGTCATGAGTTGTATACGGATTACTTAATTTTCGCGATCATGGCAAGACGGGATCCTGACTCCTCCATGGCACTAATACCACATCTGATTTCACATTGATTAGTGTTTGTTCTGAAATGTGGCAGACAAAAGCGAGGTGAGTAAACTACCAATACACGGTTAACCCCGTATATTATATAAAATAACATGACAAATGAA